TTTTTGTATGCATAAGATCATTCTTGAGGACGATCATGCCTCCTCTAGAGAACCTCAAAGAAGGCTAAATCCAACTATGATGGAGGTAGTCAAGAAAGAGGTTCTCAAATTGCTTGCTGCAGGAATAATCTACCCTATCTCAGATAGTAAGTGGGTTAGTCCTGTACAAGTAGTACCAAAGAAAGGAGGTATGACAGTTGTCAAGAATGACAAAGGCGAGCCTGTTGCCACAAGAACTGTTACAGGGTGGCGGATGTGCATTGATTACAGAAAATTAAATAAAGCCACCCGTAAAGATCATTTCCCCTTGCCTTTCATTGATCAAATGCTCGAACGATTGGCTAACCATTCCTTTTTCTGTTACTTGGATGGATATTCCGGTTTTTTTCAAATCCCCATCCGCCCTTGTGATCAGGAAAAGACTACATTCACATGTCCATATGGCACCTTCGCATATCGCAGAATGCCATTCGGACTGTGTAATGCCCCAGCCACGTTCCAACGGTGTATGATGGCTATTTTCTCAGGTCTCATAGAAAATTCTATGGAAGTTTTTATGGATGATTTTTCTGTTTATGGTTCATCTTTCGGTATTTGCCTTGATAATCTAACAAAGGTGCTCCATAGATGCCAGGATGTCAATCTGATATTGAACTGGGAGAAGTGCCATTTTATGGTACAACAGGGAATCGTTTTAGGCCATGTAGTTTCAAACAAAGGGATTGAGGTGGACAAAGCCAAAGTAGAGGTAATAGAGAAACTTCCCCCTCCAAATTCTGTGAAAGAAGGAGAGCAAGTCCTTCTATTCAATTCAAGGTTGAAACTATTTCCAGGGAAACTCAGGTCAAGATGGTCGGGCCCTTTCACGGTCTACAAAGCATATCCTTATGGCACCATTGAATTATGGAACAACACCGGGGGCACCTTCAAAGTCAATGGACAAAGGGTGAAGCACTATCGAGCGGGAGATCCTATTGAAGAAAAGTCAGATATCACATTCTCTTCCTCACCACAAACTCAATGAGGATGAATACGGTCAAGCTAATGACCTTCTAAACAAGCGCTTGCGGGAGGCAACCCGATTCTTTTTGAGGAGCCGTCGAGATTCCTATGCTCTCCTTACGCTGCAATGAGGCCATTGCCGCATTTAGCTTGGGGGAGTTGCTTCGTACATGTGGTACTCTCTCTCTCCTTATCTCTCTTATCTTTCTTGTTTTATTTTAGTGTAGTTATTTTAGTTTTTTTTTTTAAAAAAAAAAAAAAAAAAAAAAAAAAAAAAACATACAAAAAATACGATCCAATGAATAATAAATCATGCTTCCCTGTGCCCCATTCATGAAAATTGTTTTAATTCTTGGTATATGATGACGAGTATTGTGGATAGGTTAGCCATGATTTGATGTTTGATTACTTGGATGTCTTAACATGAGTCAATTTTGCCCAACTACTTGTGAATATAGTGCTTGACTAGTTGATTTGGTTAGGAATGTGTGTTAGTTCCTGGTATGTCAATGAAGTTGAGTATTGGTTTATAACTTTGAGTAATGTTTGCATGACGCATTAATATGCACATTGAGGAGGACGAAGGCATTTGTTCCTCTAGGTGGCTTTCAGACGATATTAGATACATTTGTTCCCTTCTTGCTACCCATGTTGTTGCTTGTGCCCTTTTATTGTTTATTTTGCCACATTACAAGCCTATTTAAGCCCCATTGGTTACTAGTCCCAAGCTTGGCTTGGGGGAGCTAATAGTGAGTGAGGTGAGGGAGTTGTAGTGTGCATGTAATCTGCACAATTTTGGGTGGATTTGAGAAGTTTTTATTTGTTCTTATTGTTGTGGATTGAAAAAATTGAAAATTTATTGTGCAAAGAAAAAATTCCAATGTGAGATGAAAAAAAAGGGAAAAGAAAGAGCAAAAGAAAAAAATTGTTTCAATGTTCAAGTGTTCTAATTGAAGGCTGCTCAAGAAAAAAAAGGAGAGTTCAAAGTTTGTTTGTTCACTCAAGTTCTATAATTTTATATTTTGTATATATGAGTGAAATTTTAAGTGTTGGAAATTTTTAATATAATTGGATGTTTGGTGAATTTTTGGTAGAGTTGAGTTGTGTTGGAGATGATTTGGTCATTAATTCATTTTGACCTTGGTTTTATTTATTAGGATTTTGGCTCCCTTAAGCATAGCTTTACTCTTACATTTTCCCAAATATTTCCTACCTTTTATCCTAGCCTTACATTACAAGCTTTGAAGACCTTCTGACCTTTGTGCATAGAGTTGTGTGAATGTGAAATTAGTTGTTTTCCAATGCAAAGAATGATTTGATATATTTCGAGTCGACTGCTAGGTTGAGTGCTTGTTTTCTTTAAACACACGAGTGCGTGAGTTTGGGAGGGCATTGTTCACATTTAAAGGAGTTGGATGGAGAGCGATCGAGTATATCTTTTACTCGCCACATAAATGAGAGTTGAGTGTGTGAACACTAGTCTTGAATTCTATATGCTCTTGTGGTTTGCTCTATTTGACTATTGTCAGACAGGATGAGTAGTCAGATGGATTTGATTGGTTGACTTTGATGCATAACTGTCGAGTTTACCTTTAATCGTATTTATTGATTTGAATTGCTTTTGGGGTGAAGTATTGATTTATTTATTCATTGCTTTGCTTAGGGACAAGCAAAGGTTTAGCTTGGGGGAATTTGATATACGTGTTTTATACAATGGTTTTCCCCGGTTTTACTTAGTAATTTTATATGGTTTTGAGCTCTACGGAGCCATTTCTTGCTAACAATCTCTTCTTTAGTGTATTCGATTGTTTTAGTAAGCTTTTCAGGAATATGAAGCGTTTCTAGGCAATTGGACGTGTTTTTAGTAGATTCGGAAGAGTTGATAGCCAAGAACTGCAATTTATGTGGAGTGCCCGACCGGGCATGGCTTGCCCGGGCAGACCGGGCAATGAAGAGTTCACAGGAAGAAGCCCAATTCTGAACGGTGCAACGCGCGCCCGATCGGGCAGGCTTCGCCCGGTCAGACCGGGCGATGAAGAAGTCAAGTTATGAAGATGCAATTCTGGAAACGTGTTACGCGCGCCCGACCGGGCGAGGTTCGCCCGGTCTGACCGGGCAAAGAAGGAAAACTGTCGTATTTTACGCAGCCTTCCTCCGCCCGATCGGGCGAGGTTTGCCCGGTCTGACCGGGCGATGTTCAAGATTGCGCGATTTCAGCTATTTCCGAATTTCTATCTTTTGAGGGTATAAATACCCTTTTGTAATTAACTCTTAGAGTGAGTTTTTCATTAGTTTTTCTCCTTAAGCCCTAGAAAACTCTCAAGAACCCTAGTTTTATTTCCTTTAAGCAATTTCAATCTTTTAATCCCAGATTAATCAATTGTTCATCAACAATTTGAGTTCTTTCAATTGGAGTAATTGGTATTTATCTTACTTCACTCTTTTCTGATATTCACTGTTCTCTAAATATGTTTTCTTTACTGTTTCTTGTTTTTGAACTTGATTTTGATTTTATTATGATGTGTGAGTAGTTTCCTTAATCCAGGATCTTGCTAAGCCCGATTATGATTGATGTATAAAGTAGATCTTTAAATTCCCCAATAATAATCCCAATTGACATGCTTAATTGATTGTGTTTATGCCAATACTAGATTAGGAATAATTAGTATTGTTATCATCCCTTTGTTCTTATTGCAACGGAAGTTGGGTATTAACGGGATTAGGTTATTCCAATTAAGGGTTTGAAGATCATCACGGAAGTAGATGATTGAATAATTAGGAATCTAGGCATGGTGTTTAATGTCCCTTATTCGCTTGATTCCACGGAAGTAGGCTTGATAGTTAATTTGGGAAGCCATTGATAACTTGGAAGAGACCTTTGGTATTATTATTAGGGATTGCTTTTCTTCTTGTCAATTGATTTATATATTGGGGGTAGATTTATTAGTTTATCAATCATAATCGTGGTAATGCTTGATCTTGGATGCTTTAGTTTATTGATTAATATTTCCTCTAGTTAATTGTGTTATTTAATATATTAGTTGATTATTATCATCCATTATTGATTGGGGACGTGCTTAGTGATTAATTGAGTCTGATTAATTGAATGAACCATAGTCTCTTGGGATTCGATCCTTACTTGCCCTACTACACAGTTAGAAGGAATAGTTAGGTTATTTTTGTTAGGTACGCGATAAGCCTATCATGTATATATTTTATTAACATACATATTTTTTTTTAAAACAAATATTTATATTTATTACTATTTATAAGTTACTAGTAAGAGTTCATTTAATTTATCACTTTAGCAATCATGGGGACAAAGCCTATTACTTGAAGACCCAATCTTCCGAATCATTTATACACTAATGACGTTATACTTTTTTAATTCCAATAAAAATAAGTAAAGCTAACTTATAAGTTTTAATTTTAACAAAAATAAGAATGGAACCTTTTGTATTAATCGATTATTGACTACATATATAGAGACATGGGGACAAAGCCTATCACGTCAAGACTCAATCTTTCATATCATTGTGCACTAATGAGGAACTTATAAGTTTTAATTCAAATAAGAAAAAGTAAAGGTAAGGTATAAGTTTCATATCAATAAAAGTAAGTATTGAACCATATGTGTTTCAATTAAAATGAGGAAGTTATAAGGTAGCGATCTCCTAAGTTTTAAATTTTTAACTATTTAATTAGAAACACGTGAATACCACAACTTCTAATAAAGTTTGTAAAAAAGTTAATTTCTTTTGTATTGAATTAATAAAAATTCTATGTCATGTACAAGTTAATAACTAATAGTTTTTGAAATTATACGGATTATTTTTATATTGATTAGTTAACAAAAAATACATGACCAAAACAATTTATGTTTTTAAAAATCAATTTTAAGCATGTTTGAACCTACCCTATCATGAACATAGCGCCGTGATTAACAAAGACTGCAATCACAATGTAAAATCCAAATTAAACATCCAACATTATGTATAGTAGCTGTTCACAAAAGGTTACAAATGTTGTCAATTAAGACCATTAGAGGTACTTCAATGTTCAAAAGGATTAGGGGGGTAGGGATTAGATATACATCCCTCTTAACTAGTTCTAAGTTAACTGTCAGCTGCATAGTTGTTAGACTCGTGTGTTCAACCAAAGCAAACACACCAAAAAATAAACCTCTTCCAGGGGCAAAGTCCAAAAAATGACTGCCCACCTACAAATGCTCCAAAAAATATTATTCCCTAATTTTCACCTATCCTTTAACATCCAAAAAATTACACAGAAACTATAGTTTATACCCAAACCAGATAATGTTGGGTGAGAAGATCATCTTCACAACCTTCATCATCTTCAAAACACAACACAAAACCATAGGACTCCGCTTCCACTGTGCTAGTGAAGTACCCAACTGAACCATCTTCAGTCAGCATCTCAATGCCACAAGCAGACAAGCGAGGTACTTCATTAGAGCTCTCTTGCACATAATTATACCATTAGTAAGTGATATTAGAAGCAAAAATGTTATACATGAACATCTTATTGTTGCAAGTAACCTGAGGGTGTAGTGCCTTTTTCTGTTGGACTTGGCCTTGACCGGAGATCGCAGTTTAGGCCTCTCTACACAAGACCAGTACCTGCAACTTAAATTTCTATGAGGTTTTTTGAGAGAAACGGGGTCATTGACCAACACATCAGTAGATGGAGAACCACTCTCAAAATAGGAAGGAGAAACATTAAAAGCACACTGATTCTCTGTCTCGGTGACAGTCCCTTTTCTCTTGGTGTTCACAAGCTTTGGAGATTTCTTTTTAGAGGAAGCAGGAGATTTCTTGATTGATTTAGGTTGAGTTTTCTTACTTGGTGTGACACCAGATATGCCTGCTGTAGTGGCTATGGTATCCAAGTTGATGTCCAACTACTGAAGTGACTCGATAACTATAGGGACACAATCAGCCACTGCATATGCCTTAATGCATACATGCTCAAAAGCTACCATCATTTCATCATACCTTCTTGCCTTTTCCGTCTTAGAAGGATCATGGTAAGCGACCTTGACCCTAGTGTGCTTTCTCAAAACATCCTTGTGCCAGCGGGTAAGACAGACTTTTTAGGGACAATAGTCACCTTATGCATATCCGAAACCTTGAGATTATCAAGTAAACAAACATTATTCACAACTACACATATTCATGAATTAGGCATATGTAATTGAAATAACAAGAATGATGACCACAATTTCGAAATTCAATAAATATATGTTGTATGTAATTGAAATTATAAGCACATAGATAAGAATACCTTAATGATATGATGACATATAATGCCATGAGTTTCAAAATGCTTGTAGTTGCAATAAGCTTCACTGGTTTTTGCGTGCATTTTCACATGATATATCCTCGTATATTGAGTCCGAAATTCTATCCGAGTATCCTTGCACAAGACCCACACTCTTTCCTCAATCATATGGGTAACAGTTTCAACATCAGAATTGATGACCTTTTGCAACGGGGTCACCCTATTGCATTCTTCTTGGACATCCAAAAACTTTGCATCTGTGTAGATTTTTCTGAAAAACCGTTCGGGCATAAAACCAGTGATAAGTGGTCGAGAAAACCGCTGATCAGCAGCATCAGCTGGTTGCTTATCATTTGCTCTTGACACCATTGCTTGGATGTATTTTGGCCCAAACTCAAACAACCGTGTGTGCTTGTTGAGGAAGCCATCAAAGAAAGAGTTAATGCTTTTAACACACTGAGTCGTCTTACTTCCTGCCCAGAAGATGTGTCTCATGTAGGCAGGAACCCACATTTTCCTCTCGCAGTACAAACCTATTAAAGATAGGTGAGAAAATACATAAACCAAATTAACAGTACCAACAGATAAATAGATAAAGTGCAAGATTTAATACACAAATATTTTCCAAATGTTATTAAATAACTAACAAATTTAACAAAATCCATGAATTATTCATATAATGAATCAACCTATTTAACTAAAATGGAAGACATTTATGTATAACACTGTTGAAAAAATAAGGTAAAGGATTAGGTAAAACACTACACATACTAACCTGCCAGCCACGATTCATACTCGAGCTTATATTTTGTAATGACAGTAGCCAAATCCTTCTCAAAGTCATTAGCAGTAAGGCTGTCATAAATGACATTGTGAAGTTCCACCTTAAATAATTCATAAGTCTCAAGCCTCCCAAGTTTCTTGCTGAACTTGGTAAGTTTGTGCCATAAGCACTAGTGGTGGCGTGTTGCACGCATAACATTATGGAGAGCTTTCTTCATTGCAGCATCTTGGTCAGTTAATACAGCCAAGGGTTTCTTGTTAGACATACACCCTAACCAAGTTCTGAATAACCACTTAAAGGTTTCCGTATTCTCATGGGAAAGCAAGGCACATCCTAGCAGAATACTTTATCCATGATGGTTTACATTGACAAAGTTTGCTAATGGCAAGTCCTACTCATTTTTTAAGTACGTAAAGTCAAACACAACCACATCCCCAAACTCCTCATATGCAGCTCTACTTCTTGGGTCAACCCACATAACATCGGACAATTTATTGAATTTGTCTACCCTATGCATATGATAGAAGTTCTGATTATCAGCACACATGTCATTGAAGTAATTGAATAATGCATTCCAGTCACAATTCTTCATCTCTTCACTTCTTTCCCGACTGATAATATTCCTCAAATCGTTTTTGGTAAAGTTCACATTTTCAACCCCATTCCTCTCACTGGCTAGTGAGTTGAAGACTTGGGTGACCTTAGACCTAGCACCAACATCAATGAAGATCTTTCTCTTCACAACAGCATTGATGTTGTCCTGCCTATACATAGCAATGAAGCGAGACTTTCGAGGTGTAGGGACATGATTCTTGTGCTGTAATCCCAACCCCTTCACCACCTAATCACCAGATTTGTTTTTGCAGCAGTACATATACACAAGGCAGTCACATTTCTTTTACTTACGCCGCGCAGGCCCTTCACGTTCAGCATCCACCCTTTTCCCATTAATGTGACGGCTATAAGTAGTGCCTCTATAACATTCACACTTCCACATGTACCCTCTTAGCTGATTCGTCGCAGCACCCTTCTTCTGGGTGTAAGAACCAGATGCACGAAGAATACCAAAACTTTGTTGCCTTCCATAGTTCTTGAAATGACTATCAACATCTCCCCAACTAGCAAATATCATCCCTACAAAGGGCTTAGGAACAACCCCATTAGAAAGAACAGCATCATAGCACCTCATACTATGCGTTCCATCACACAAGTATGTTGAATCTGCTACCTAATTGCATTGGGGCCTAACCTCATCATCAGAGTCCAAGAGCAAAACATCATCACAGTCCAAATTCGCACCACTTGTACTGCCACCCCCCCCCCCCCCCTTATCCTAAGAACAGATGTACATCACTTTATGATAAGCACATAGAAACTTTTAAGACATTCGAGGACAACATTATGTAGTAATATGAACATATATTTCTAACATAATGAAATCATAAACAATTCATTCACCAAATCATAAACATATATTGATATTTATAACATAATCTCCCCTTTTGAATTTAAAAGAAAATATAGCAGTAATCATTAAAACATTAAATAGTTTGCTTAATTTTTTTTGAGCTCGTGTCTCGTGCAAATGCTAATCGTTACTCTTTGACTCTTTGATTAGAAGCATACAAACACATTTTTTTTTCATATCAAATGCAAGCACACTCAAGCTCATATAAAAGGTTCAATTCAAATAAATAAACATTTGCACATAATGACTTATAAACTTATAAATAAGATAAACTACTAGTCTACATTCAATTTGAAATAAACATTTCCAACAAACATTTTCAATCATAAACTACCTACATTTAGCGATCTTGAGATTATCAGATAAACTACACATGATTTCCAACTATACAATTTCATGAATTAGGCAAATTCAATACATACATGTTTTGTGTAAATGAAATACCAAGCATGATGATTACAATTCAAAATTCAATACATATATGCTCTATGTAATTGAAATAATAAGCACATACAAATAATACACCAAATCAATTTAGTCACTACAAAAATCTGTCTAAGGACCTTTCTTCATTTTCATCCAATCAATTGAATTCAAACACCACCACTTTATCCCCAATTCACAAACCCTAAATTGAACTAATGGTCTTCAACTATAACCCTAGAAATGATCTACCACAATTAAACTAACAACCAAGTCATTTTTATCACATCAAGGTTCATACTAGCAACATTAAGGTTTATACTATACTATTAAAATAACAACAAAATGTCAATTCTTTCCCAACCCTAAAAGAAGTTTTGCAAATTATGAAACCCTCCAAATCCAAGACACCACCAAAATTATTAACAAAATATTATCTAGAAACCCTAGAAATTGAGTTTTGAATTAATTAACAACTTCAATTGATAATTACGACAACAGTACAAATATTAACATAATATTAACTAATTTCCGAAATCAATACAATAACCACAATAAAAAAAATAGAATTGCATTACACTCCGTACTTAATTTCTTGCTTTAACCTAACTTCAATACAACAAAATATTAGTTTAATACATTAAAATTAAAGTCAAGTACCTGAATTAGATGGTCTTTGTTGAGATTAGTAAACAACTCACGAAAATCCAATTTAGAAACCCTAGAAATTTAGTTTAATACATTAACGAATTAAATTGAAAAGAACAAAAACACTAATTAAAATAACAACACTAATTATAAATAAATTATAGTCACCTGTTTGTCGTTTTTGAATTTACTAAATTTTTAACTTAGATTAAATTTAGAGCTTCGTCGTTCTTGCTATTTTTGTTGAAGTTTTTGTTGGAATTTTTTTTTGTTGAACTTTGAGACTTTCTCTCTCTTTCTTTTCTATCAATTTTGGGAAATTAAAGCATTGACATCAGTAGAAATCAGCAGCAATTTGGCGGTAAAATTCCCCCCCAAAAACATACCCATTCCCGTTTTCCAACCTAACGGAAGGAAATTAAATTAATTTATTTGTTTTTTTGTTTTTTTTCAGGATATTATTATTATTTTATTTGTGTGCTGGTCCAAATGGACCCTCTCACTTTTGCCAAAGACTTCCTCCGAGCAAGGACGGGGAAAATTTTAAAACAGAAATAAGTAAGGAAAAAAAAATGCTAGATGTAGGGATTGAACCCACAACCACAAAGAAACCTTGTTAACACTAAAACCACTAAACCACCTCCTATTCTTTGTCAATGAACTGTACACAATTGTATACAGATAATTTTTTTTTTTTTTTTTTTTTGTCCCCACCTACCTTCCTCTGGCAATTTATCGTGGGGGCTTTTTTTTATTTTTATTTTTTTTACCAATTAGTTCATGACACTTCACATTTTATTAAATTTATATAGAAAAAAAAATTCACCTTCTCATCAGGTAACCGGTTATTAGGACTGTTAGAAGTAAATAGACCCCAAAGTTGGAATTATTCTAAAATAATCGAAAGTTAGGTTTATTTAAAGTAAATCGGCAAAAGTTGGTTTTATTTAAACCAATTTTTTCATACAAATTAAGAGAGTTGGGAACAATGTTCAAACAACAGAGGTGAGAATTGAGAGAAGAGAGAGCGAAAAGCAGAGAAATAGAAGGGGGGATGGGTAGTTAGAGGGGCCCACATGACGTTACAATATAGAAGTTGGGCAAACATATGGTAATTTTTACAGTTATGAATAATTGTTGATGGTAAAAAAAAAAAAAAAAAAAAAAAATAAAATAAAATAAAATAAAATAAAAATCTGTTGGTGCTTATTAATAGTAGATGGTATTTCTACATAAAAAAATGACTATAATAGTAGATGGTATTTTTCACTTTCCAAAAAAGCCAAATAAAAACAAGATAGGATAGAGTATAAAATATGTTCATGGACCTGAACCATCAGCATAAGTTTTAGGTTATTTTAGTCTTAACATGGTAGGAGTCAACGTGACACAAAGGTCACGGGTTCTAATCTCATTCACCCCCCAATTTAAAATGGAATATTTTGCTAAGGGTCCATATCATATTGCATCCACATTTCAAGTTCAAAGGGTTCCCCTATGAGAAAACGTGATAGAGTATAAAACATAATCCTAAGCTACAGACATCAGCTTAAGGTTTTGGTTGAATTGATCTTTTAACATTTAGTTTTAAAGTTTGCGAATTAACAATTCATGATAGTCTTATTTTAAACAAACTATTTATATAATTAACGTGTAATATAATCTCAAAAGTTACATAACACACACCTATAGGCATATTAAAAGTTGTTTGAACAATTCTCACAACTCTTATTAGAATTGTAAATTAACCATTGATTAAATTCATTAAATATGTAGGTTAAGTCAATGACGTACCGTACCTGTGACAAATTCAAAACAACAAAATATGAGATTATCATATATAATACTTCGTAGTAACTTTATTTGAAAGACAGTACATAAAATGACATTTTTTTTGTCACATGCAAAACCTTCCCCCTAATGAGCAAGTAAAATCATGCAACTTTCCTAAAAAAGCAAATTAATTACAGGAAGACTAAAATCTTGGTGCTGCAAGCAATTCTTGAGCTTTAACTTCATGCTTGAACTTCAATACCTTAGAATCATCAGCACACCAAAAGAAGATCCCGTGTAGTAAGTTCATTTCCTTTAGCTTCTCACAAGCTTTAAAGAAGTCTTTTCCTGGTTTTAGCCCTTTGCTTCCATCACTAATATAACTTGCCAAAATCTTACCATCTTTGTAATTTCTT